TATAAATTGCATTTCCTCAATGACCTGGCATGTCTTGTTTATATGGTAAGTAAACTTCAATCTGTTCAGGAAAAAAGAAAGAGGCAACTCACTCTAGGGATCAGGATGAGGAGTACCCTATTGTAGGTCGTCATTAACTTAATGGAGCACATCTGCAAAGAAAACACATTCACCAGTACAGAGGTTAAAATGTCAATGTATCTTTTGGGGGTTCTCAGTTCAGTCCATAACAGCATGAGAACAGGTTGGTGGGAATGCCCAAGAGAAAGACATTCTCTCATGTGAACCTTAACAGAAGGACCCTTTATAGATACTGGCAAATGAAATAAAGACAATAGACACCATTTTCATCACTAGTTACTGCTGACTTGAAATATGGTTTCTTACATGGTAGTGGAATTTCCTTACAAGTGGAATTTCCACAAACTGAAAAAATACCGGTGCTTCTCTTCACTCTGGAAATGGACATGCTCTGTCTTTCAGTTCTGCATAGACTTTCTTCTTAGTACAGTGTAATTCATAACACATATGTAGACAGAATCTCTTGGTCATTCCAGTTGAGTTATGAAATATTTCTGTTTAATTTTCTCTAGGATATTGGCCTGGCATACATCAATCACCTGGTGGAGAAAGGAGAGTATGACACAGCGGCTCGGTAATCATGACATTGTTTCCCCTACAACATGTTAATATAAGTAGAAAATGAACTATGTTAACCATTCAAATAAAAGAGCCATTATTTACAGTGGAGACACTTTATTCCATTACATCCTTTTAACAAGGCTAACTTTGGACTACGAATAGTCTCAACCTTGGAATGAATTCCTGAATGGTATTTCCCCAACTACTGTCTCATGTGTACCAAAGGAGAAGTGCCTTGTTAAACATTTCATAAGAAAGATGTCAAGAGCCATGAAGAGTCTGGAATGCTACTCTGTTTATAAGCTAGCAAGTTAACCCGCCGTAATTTCATATAGGATTCCTGATGGAGGATAAACACAGGACTGCTAAGCACAACATAGGCCGTTCAAACCCACCAGCCATGCCTCAGAAACTCTATACAGGGTCACTATGCGTCAGAATCACTACAATGACACACTTAATAACAATAACAACACATTTCATCTATTCTAGCAGAAGACATAAGACTCCTGAGCTAGACACAAAGGACTGTCTCAGCGATAGGAGTAGCCCAGTTATCACCCTTTCAGCAGTGCCTTTGACCCCACTTCCCCAGGGTAACACACAGAGAACCTGGTGGCCATGTGCAGACAGTGGGCTGTGTTGTACGGGTGGAATTCTGAGCTCAAGACAGCTGAATCTTGTATGATAGACAGCAAGCTTGCCTGACGTTTGTTCCAGAGTGACTGTCTTTATTAGACTGGACAGTTACCTGCATTTGGCTCTGGATGGAGACAGTCCCTGTATTGTCTAATTTCCAAGACTGTCCACTCTGCACACGTCCTCAAGAAGATAGGAATTAAGGCAGTCATTGCTTCCGCTCACAGTTCATGCAGAAACATGAGAAACCCACGGCAAATTGTTTAAGCAATTTGACAACAAAATATCTCTTAAATGGAAGTGATCAGACCCTGGACTCCTGGTTTGCAGGGGTGTATGGGAGTAGAAAACATGCATGTTACGTGGTGGTCTTTGTGAATAGCTTCTGCTGAGGCTGGGCATGTCATCATGGGGACCTTTGAACCCTGGAAAACAGCTCCCAAAGTCAACTCTTCAATCCCTGGGATAAGAGAAAATGTGTTTGTTTTATGCTTAACATTTCATTCACATGTGAACAGTCACTTCCACGGATACTGGTATTGTTGTTGTTAAATGCTGTCAAGTCGATTCCTATCAATAGCAACCCTATATAGGATTTCCAAGGAGCAGCTGGTGAGCTTGAACCACCGACCTTGCAGTTCAAACGACTTTGCAGTCTGATGCATTAGCCCACTGCACCACCACTTCAGTTTTCTGAAGTCATTTTGTAGTCCATTTTCCTAAGGAGTTCAAGAAGTAGTTGACTCTGGTACATCTAGTTGAAGATAAATTGTTTGATGGGATTCGTTTAAAACAAGAAAGGTCCCCAAACTAGCTCAACTAGATAAAGAGCAAACTCAAAACAGGAAAATCCATGGGAAAACCCAGTTGTAGATTTCTGAAAGACATGTTTCTTTACTTGTAAATCGTTTGTGTTCATTTTCATGACTTGTTTTGTGTACGGTACTAAGAGAGTAACAATAATATCTTGACATGTTGACTCCTGAGTTAGGTATTTGTCAAAAATCTTAGATAAGATGTCTATCAAGTAACTAGGGCAAATGTCCATTTATTCTGTGTGTTTATTTTAACTTTTTTTTATAATTTCTTCCTTTTTGGGTTAATCTCACCAACAGCAAATGCCAGAGGATTCTTGGCAAAAATGCAGCACTCTGGGAATATCAAGTTTATAAATTTAAAGAAATCAAACAGCTTAAGGTAAGCAAAGCTTTATTTTTAATTCATAATCTTGTCTGAAATATACTTACATTGAGGAACCCTGGTAGTATAGTAGGGTTCAGACACTACAGTTGAGACCGTTTTATTAATAATATACATATGTTGTTGTTAAGTGTTGTCAGTTGGTTCCAACTCATAGTGAGTGTGTAGGGTTTCTGAGGAGTGGATGGTGGGTTTGAACCACTAACCTTGTGATTCCAGCTGACCTTGCAGTCAAGCACATTATCCTGCAGTGCCACACCAGGACTCTGTATGGTGCTACAGGTTCATGCACTGGACTGCAAGGTTGATTTGAACCTCAGTGTTGGTTTGAACCTCAACATATAGTTGCTGTTGTTAGGTACATCAAGTTAGTTCTGACTCATAGCGCCCCTGTGTCAAGTTTCCAAGAATAGCTGGTGGGTTTGAACCACTGCCTTGCAGCTCAAATCAACACTGTGGTATAGTGTTTATCCTACAGTGCCACACTAGGATACATACATATATACATACATACATATGTTGTTAACTGCTGTTGACTCCGTTCCAGCGTGTATGTGTATATACATACACACACACACACACACATATATATATCTTGGTGTGGTAGGGTAAGTGCAGGACTACAAGGTCTGTTTGAATTGGTTTGTTAACTATATTTCTGTACTCTAGCCTCCCTAAGCTCTGTTGATGCTTCTTTCTTGCCCATAGAACAAAATCCAAATTCTTTTTATGACTCTGCCTGATCCTTCACTTCCAGTGACCCAATTTCACATCTCTGATGTGAACTCAAGTGTATGTTCATGTCTCCATACGTTTGCTGGTGCTCCCCTGGCAGAAATTCTGTTTCCCTTCCTTGTTTGCCTGATAAAATGCAAATATGTACTGCTTCAGTACGTCACGTTGTCCTCGGCTTGCCGTAGCACTGAGTCAAGCCCCTTCTTACAAAGCATATTACAAAGTATTACCACTCTCATTTATGTTCTGTTGAAATAGCTGCCCATTTTCCCCTCTGGGACTGTGAATTCTTTGAAAACAGTAACCCTAGCTTTCTGTCCCCAGTACAAATGAAGGTGTTTGGTGCGTAGTGTACTGTGGAGTAATTAAACAGTATTGGGAAACAGCTTCATCACAGCATTGATAGTGCAGATGGCCCCCGCTGGTACAAAAGCCTACCTTTGAAATCTTTTGCAAGCTAAACTATCATAAAGAACCATGGAGAACATTTTTAAGCATTCCCAGACCCCCCAAAATGGCCTACTAAATAGCACAAAACCTAAAATACTAGTAACACGTAGTATTCACAGACACAGTTCAAAGCTGTGGCTGCTTCCTGAGGTATTTTTTATTCATTGATTTATACATACATATATTTTGTTGTTGTAAAGTGCTGTCGAGTCATAGTGACCCTGTATAGGGTTTCTGAGGACTCCACATACATACATATTGTTGTTGTTAAGTGCCCCTGAGTCAGTTCCAATTCCTAGCCACCCTGTATAAGGTTCCCAAGGATATTGTAATGTATTACAATAGAGTTTATTTGAATCCTCTCATATACTCTTCCTAAGTAATTCGTTGCTTTAAATTTTAAACATAAAAAGGCACCTGTATGCTTTGTAACTGGAATGAAATTTTGTTTTACCACTCTTTAAGGATTTCTTTTTTCCTTTTTTCCCCATAGGCAATTAGCCCATATTTGCCAAGAGGGGATCCAGTTCTGAAACCACTCATCTATGAAATGATCTTACATGAATTTTTAGAAAGTGATTATGAGGTATGGTGTTCTGTTGTGCAAAGATTTACTTATTTTCAGTGGGAAATGTTAATAAATATAGAATACAATGGAAGCAATTGGTTTAAAAGAATCAGATTTTCAGAGTGTGTTTGGTAGATGACATAGATCAATAAACTCTATTAATAGCTAATACTTATGTAGACTGTGAAAATCCCAAATCCAGTTACTTTTAGAATTCCTAAAAGTTACCTCCTTGCAAAAGCTAAAGGAAAGGGGGGAAATGCAGTTTTGTGGATTTGTTAAATAGAATGGCAGATGCTACCACTGCCTACAGTACCCCTAAAGGCTTCAGCACAGTCTGAAGCATGAGACTCAATCCTAAGCTCACCAGAGGAGGGTTAGAGAGCATTTGGCGCAAGAGCAGGAGAGGAAATTAGAAAAGGAGCTGTTTCCTTGTTGATCAGGAGAAAGGCGATAATGGGTTTATCTGCTGCACACTGCATCCATCGTTCATGCATATCGCTTTCCAGTACTCCCCAAAGCACGGAGTTAAATAACTTTCCAGTTTAACACAGGTAAAGTATTCAATATTTGCCAAGATCGTACATTTAATTGTTGTGCCAAGACTTGAATTTAAAGGTGGGGTTTCTGGCATCTAAGTTAAATTATAATTTTTAAAGCATGTTTTATTAACAGTCCTTTATTCAGAAAACATGTGTCTCATGGCTGCTGTGTTCCAGAAATGAGCTAGACACCTGACATCACAGTGGGACTAGGATAATGCTGATGAGTAGCTCATAGTCTAAGTCACAGCTGAACTTATAAGCCATTGGTTCTGAACTCTTCAGAAACCTCATACAGGGTCGCTGTGAGTCAGAACTGACTCAACAGCACTTAACAGCAACATCATCAAAATTGTCCTGTTAATTCATATCTGGAAAACTTTTGACTGAGTCTGAAAGAAATAAGCACCATCTAAAACAGCGTAAATAAACTTTAGAGCTTGAGGACTTTTTCTTCTGGGTGGGGCTCAGGAGTCCACCAATAGCCCCATAGGCTACAAAAGCTTAAACCAAGAAGCCTATTTTTTCCTGGCAAATTTTAACTCCCCTTTTAGCAAATCCAATCAAGTATAGGCTGAAGGTGGACTTACACGTTCTCTGTAATCATAATTTCCAATATTCATTTCTATCACACATATATGTTTATTTTACAGTAATAGGCAGGAAAAACCAATGTCCATAAGGCAGTCAAACACAGAAACCTTTTAAAAACACTCAAGTTCAATCTTTTCTTCTCCCTTAGACTGGTCGTGGTGGTTATGTGCCGTGGAGTCAGTTTCCACTCATAACAACCCTGTACAGGGTTTCCGAGGCTGTAAATCTTTATGGGAGCAGAAAGCTTTCTCCCGCGGAGCAGCTGGTAGTTTCGAACTGCTGACCTTGTGGTTGGTTTGCATCCAGATTCGTAACCACTACCCTACCAGAGTTCCTTTCATATGCATATGACCTTGAGCCTCTGACAGAGTGGGTACCAACAGGCCCTGCCCACACATCAGCTGTGTTTTATCAGCTCATCATTGGCTCCAAGCAACTCCAGAAGCTTATGCTCTCACCTTTGCTTAAGTATTTCATCCCTTGTCGCTTGGTTCTTTCTCTCACAAATCCTCTACATTTCATAGATCTGGAGCCACTGTAATGACTCCTGCTCACAGCGCAAGCTGCTTAAACCAAGTGGGAACCATATCTACCTTCCTTGGACTCCACAAGAGGGAAAGAGGACCAAACTCAAAATCAGTCCAAAGCCAATTCTATGAAGTGGGGATCAGACATACCTCCACCCTGTATTGTTGTTGTTAAGTGCTGTCGAGTCAGTTCTGATCCATAGCAACCCTATATAGGGTTTCCGAGGAGTGACTGGTGAGCTTGAACTGCCAACCTTGCAGTTCCAATGGCTTTGCAGTCTGGCGCATTAATCCACAGCGCCACACCAGGACTCCAGGACTCCACCCTGTATTGTTGTTGTTGTTGTTATGTGCCATCGAGTCGGTTCCGACCCATAGCGACCCTGTATTAGTGCCTCTAAAATTAGTGAGACTTGAGAACCAATTTAGAAAACTCATCCTTGTGGTTTTACTTCTTGAGAACTCCATATATCATCGGCCAGGTTTTCTAGAGAAGCAAAACCACTACGTATATTTATAGAGAAGTTTCTTATCAAGGAAAGGGCTTACAATTGCAGAGTCCCAGCAGAAGACAGAGAGAGTCTCCCTGTCCATTATATTGGGAGCAGGCCACACCCCGAAGTAAGCATCCCTTTGACTGATTGATGCTCTCATTACAGAGCTAACTAGGCCAATATTAGGTTTCATCACCATGGGAATATATACATCCCAACTGCTAAACCTCTGGAAATCCTGGCCTAGTCAAGTTGACACAAACCACTGACCTTTACACCCCAATAGTAGGCAGATAGAGACAAGTATGGAATGAAGCGAGGTGACAGAGCACAACCTGACAGGTCAATGAAGACACTGAGAGGTACACAAGAAAAGGAACAGCTTCAGTAAATGCTATATATAACATGTTCAATTTTGCAACGATAATAACAAGGCAAAAATATTTACGTGTTTACATAGGTAGAATAGTATGCATGTGTGTCTGTAGGACATGGGAGAAATAAGAGACTTTCTGCTTCCACAGAGACTTTCAAAAAGAAGTCTCAGAAACCCCTTAGAGGGTCACTATGAGTCGGAACCAACACGATAGCACTTAACAACAACACAACATGTCTATAGGAAAGCACACGTGTGAGTGCGTTGTGTGGAGGGCTCTAGCTGTTTTTCCTGGTAGGCATATGGATATTATCCTCTCATGGACAGCATTACACTGCAAGATAGATCTTGAAATGTTGTTGTTTTTGTTGTTTTATGATGATGAATGCAATGCCATTCTTCTTCAATTTGACGTTCCTAGTATAGTAAGCCTTTTGAGTGTCAGGTTCAAAATGACCAATGTCCATTTCAGCTCACTAATGCCTAGGGTGTCTAGGAGAGCTGTGATATGCAGATGATACAACCTTGCTTGCTGAAAGCAAAGAGAACTTAAAATACTTACTGATGAAGATCAAAGACCACAGCCTTCAGTTTGGGTCGGACCTTAATGTAAAGAAAACAAAAATTCCCTGCACTGAACCAGTACACAGTATCATGATAAATGGAGAAAAGATTGAAGTTGTCAAAGACTTCAGTTTGCTTGGATCCACTGTCAACACTGATGGAAGCAGCAGAGAAGAAATCAAATGACGTTTTGCATTAGGCAAATCTGCTGCATACACCTCTTTAAAGTGTTCAAGAGTAAAGATGTCAGTTTGAAGATAAAGATGTGCCTGACCTAAGCCATGGTATTTTCAGTGGCCTCCTGTGAAAGTGAAATGGCCTCCAAGTGAAATGGACAGTGAATAAGGAAGATCGTAGAAGAATTGATGCATTTAAGTTATGGTGTTGGAAAAAAATATTAAAAGTACCTTGGACTGCCAGAGAACAAACAAATCTGTGTTGGAAGAAGTACAACCATAGTGCTTCTTAGAACACAGGATGGCGAGACTCTGTCTCTCATGCTTCAGACACGATATCACGAGGAACCAGTACCTGAAGAAGGATATCATGCTTGGTAAAGCGAAGGATCAGCAAAAAAGAGGAAGACTTCCAACAATATGGACTGGCCCATTGATAGCAGCGCTGGGCGCAAACATTAGCAACAATTGGGAGGACTGGGCAGTGTTTCGGTCTATTGTGCCTAGGGTCGCTATGAGTCAGAAACAACTTGATGGCACTAATAACAATAAAATGTTGTTGTTATAGATGCCACTGAGTTGGATCTGACTCAAAGCTACCCTAGGCACAACAGAACGAAACACTGCCTGGTCCTGCACCCTCCTCTCAATGGTTGTTTAAGCCCATTGTTCCTGTCGATGTATCAGTCTTTATCAGTGAGGATCTCCCTCTTTTTTGCTGACCCTTCACTTTACGCAGCATAATGTCCTTCCCCAGGGACTGATCCTCATAACATGCCCAAGGAACAAGAGATGAAGTCTCACAATCCCCACTTCTAAGGAACATTTTCAGTATTTCATCAAAAACAGACTTGTTTGCTTTTCTGGCTGTTCATAGACTTTCAGTAGTCTTCTCCAACACCGTAATTCAAATGCAACGATTCTCCTGCAGTCTTCCTTAGTCACTGTCCAGCTTTCCCATGCATGTGAGGCCATTGAAACTACCATAGCTTGGGTCAAGAGCACTTTAGGCCTCAGATGGACAGATTTGCTCTTTAACATTTTAAAGACATCTTTTGCAGCAGATTTCCCTAATGCAAAAAATACATCAATTGGTTTCTTGACTGCTGATTCCATGAGCATTGATTGTAGACCCAAGCAAAATGAAGGCTTTAGCAGCTTTAATCTTTGCTCCGTTTATCCTGTTATTTGGAGTCCTGGTTTGGCCTTGTGGGTTAATGTGCTCGATTGCAGGGTCAATTTGAATGGCAAGGTTGGTAGTTCAAGCTCACCAACTGCTCCTCGGAAACCTTATACAGGGTCGCTATGAGTTGGAACCTACTTGACGACACTTAGCAACAGCAACAATCATTTTTTGGCTCTGTTGTGAGCATTTTTGTTTTCTTTAGATTGAGGTGCAATCCATACTGAAGTCTGGTAGGTAGTCTTTGAGCTTCATTAGTAAGTATTTTGACTTTTCATTTCCAACAAGCAAGGTTGTGTCATCTGCATATCACAGGTTGTTAACAAGCCTTTCTCCAATCCTGATGTCACTTGGTTCTTCATATAATCCAGTTTCTCAGGTAATTTGCTCAGCATACACATTGAAAACATACAGTAAAAGGATACAACCTTGCCATACACCTCTCTTGATTATAAACCATCTAGTATGTTCTTGTTCTGTTCTTGGTCTATGTAACAGGTTCCACAGGAGCAAACTAAAATGTTCTGCAGTATCCATTATTTGCAGTGTTATAGTTTGTTATGATTCACAAAGTGAAATGCCTTTGTATAATGCTTCAATAAAGCACAAGTAAACATCCTTCTAGTATTCTCTCCTTTCAGCCAAGATCCATCTTACCTCAGTATTGATATCCCTCCTTCCACGTCCTCTTCTGAATCTGTATTGAATTTCTGGTAGTTCCCTCTCTATGTACTGCTGCAACAATTTCTTCATCAAAATTTTAATTGCATGTGATATTCATAATATTACTCGATGGTTTCTGCATTCTGTTGGGTCACCTGTCTTTGGAATGAGCACAAATATGGATGTCTTCTAGTCAGTTGACCAGGTAACTGTCTTCCGAATGTCAGGAAATACCTGTAGTGCTGTATCTCTTTGTTGAAACATTTCAGTTGATATTCCATCAGTTCCCGAAAGCTTGTTTTTCCTCAGTGTCTTCAGTACAGCTTTGAGCCTTTTCTTTCAATCCCATCCGTTCTTTATCGTATGGAACCTCTTGAAATGGTTGGGTATTGATCAGTGTAATTGGCACAGTGACTCTGTGTATTCCTTCCATCTTCTTCGTCTTATAGTTTTGTTTTGTTTTTTTTAACAGAAAAGATCATCGGTTTTACATTCAACAAATCAGTACACTCTGTTTCATGTCAATGACTGCAATCCCCTCCATGTAACAACAGCTTTCCCGCTTGTTCCCTGTGGTCCCTAGTTCCATTTCACCCTCCTTGCCATCCCTTCTCAACTTTGTCCTTAGGTAAATGTTGTCCTTTTGATCTTGAATGATTGACCCGTCCATGGTGAGCAGACCTTACTAGTGTTGCTGTCTAGACCCAGCCACGTTGGGTAATATCTGTAAAATATTGGAGATGTCATCCAAAGGCTGTGTAGTTGGTTCAGAATGAGAACAGAGCAAGTCACACCGACTCTGTGCGTGCATTGGAACTTTGTAGAAGGAACAGGGACTCTTTCCTAGTTGTGCATTTCATAGACTAAGAGCCAACACGAATGGCACCACCCCCCAGCTAGGCGTATTAATGGAGCTGGTTGTTGTTAAGTGCCGTCAAGTCAGTTTTGTGCAGTAATTCTCCCTCCCACCTCCCCCGCCCCCCGTCGCCACCTAGTGTCTAAAAATTGATGAAATGTTTATTGACTAAAGTTTTAATTATGAAATTATTTAATCAGTTATATGAATGCTTTTTAATATTGTTAAAACTATCTGGATTATTACCCTATTTGAAGAACCTTTTTTTTTTTTCCCCTCCCCACTCTGATTAGGGGTTTGCCACATTAATCCGAGAATGGCCTGGAAATCTTTATAACAATTCAGTGATAGTTCAAGCTGTTCGGGATCACCTGAAGAAAGACAGTCAAAATAGGACGTTACTGAAAACCCTGGCAGAATTGTGAGTATATTTTAGTGCTTCTTTTTCCAAATCAATTCCCTATCTTAAGTGTTCCATATTTTAGATTTGACAAACTCTGAATGAGTGCCAGAGTTCCAGGGTGGTACACACAGTTAATGAGCTCAAAGACTAGCCAAAGGGTTGACAGTTTGAGTCTACCCAGAGGCACCTTGAAAGAAAGGCCCAGCAATTTCCTTCACCCCAAAATCTGCCGTTGTAAACCTTCCAGATCACAGTTGTACTGTGACATGCATGGGGTCGCCTTGAGTCAGATTCAGCTCAATAGCAGCTGGTGGTGGTGGACGGAGGAGGTGATGTAGGCAGGAGCCTTTTGTACCTGTGAACACTCTTCGTAAAAACCTCTTGTAACCCCCAACCAAACAACTACACTGTAAGGAAAGCTCTGAAACTGTTGTCATAATCTGTTTCTCAGAAGAGAGAAACCCCATCAGTAGCTTTGGTAGCAGCAGTGGCCTGGGAGGGAAGTGTCCAGTTAGGTATTTCATGCAGAAGGGATCCCCGGGGAGGGAGACTCTGTGTTGTTCTTGGATCTGCAAGTCAGTCTCTAAAACTTCTGGTTTCTTGTCTATAAACTTAGAGGTGACAGTCTCCTTATTGTGATTATTTTAAGGTTTCAGTACGGTACCATCAGAGCAGTGTCTGGCACCATGTCAGGACTCAGCAAATGGGAGCTGTGGTTAATATTCTCTTTATTTATTGAATACTTTCAGTGATCCAGGCTTTTGCCAAGATACAGTGTTTCCATGAGAAAATGATCAGCACTCCAATCTAGAAAGCTACAAGTACAACTCTATCAAAATTCTCATGCACTCCTGATTTCTAGACCAATTTGATGTAGTGTTCTTGGTCTTGTGCAGAAATGTAGGAAGATGGGAGAGGGGGATCTGTGTTGGTACGAGTGCAGAGGAGGGCTTGCACTCGTGAGTATGCCTGCAGCACACATCTTGTTGCATTAGACTGAGGCTCCTTGGGGGCGGAATCTTGCTTGTTAGATATTTTACTCATGTGTCTATTACTAGAATGAGATTTTCTTTCATTGTGGATCATAATTTCTCTCTGCAAAATATTTGTTTTTTGTTTTTTTAATTCAAAGTGCAGCTCCCAATAATGAATTACCTTTTATACTGGAGTTTTATAAGTTTTCAGAAATATGGGTGAGATGTGAGGCAAGATTCTGAGACAGAAATGCATGGTGGTCATATATAGTTAAATCCCAAGGAATATTTTTGGAAATAAAGCTAATTTTTGTCTCTAAAACTTGTTTGTTTGTGTGTGTGTGTTTGTTTTTAGTTTTTAATCTTATAAAACATAACCTGTGTGTTTTGCTTCATTGTATTAGAATTGTTGATGAACATTAATAGAAAAATTTTTTGTATTACCAGGTATACCTATGACACAAACTATGGGAATGCTCTGGAAATATACTTAACATTAAGACATAAAGACGTTTTCCAGTTGATCCATAAACATAACCTTTTCAGCTCCATCAAGGATAAAATTGTTTTATTGATGGATTTTGATTCAGAGGTAATGTATTTCTTATATTCATACTGATAAATTATGTTTACTAGTTAGACACCCACGTAAATGCTGGGTGAGCTAATGGACCCTTAGCCTGGTTCTATGCTAATCATTCTAGAACACTCTGACCGTTCTACATGCTGCTAGCTATTTTAATTAGTATTCTGGAATCCCTTTCAAGCAACCATAATTTGATGTGGAGTTGTTTAAGTTGTGTGTGGAATTTTTTAGTAAAACGTTTTTAAAATACTTTATAGAAGCAGGGAAACACGCCACATGCTTTGGCCCTTTTAACTTTCTTTAAGTGTATGTCCTGTCGAGTGCTGTACAGTCAGTTTAGCCTCACAGTGACCTGACCCTGTATTCACTTAGGGTTTTCCAAGGAGTGGTGGTTGGGTTAGAACAGCTAATCTTATGTCTTAGAACTGAATTTTAAAGTGAATTTTATTTTTAGCCTATATGTTGAGGTTCTGTTCCTTAACATTCTATGGTCTCCATTGAATCTCTGGTACAAAGCACATGGACTGTGTCATTTTCATATTGAACAAATTTGAGGAGTGTTCCACTTAACTGATGAGGGGAACCCAGCTCTGCAGTTCACAGGAGCGCTGATAAGTGATACAAAGTGTATGTGTTTTGAGGGATTTCGTTTGCTGATGTTTTTTGGGAAAGGAAACTAATGACAAGTGCTGGTAATAGAAATAAAGCGTTTCCCTAAAAACAGTCGTTTTAATTTCAAAAACTGAAATTTTCAATAAAGTGAAAAGTAGAATCCTCTTCAAAGGGCTACTTGCATGTTTTCAATGATACTTTACGACATGTAGGGATTGGTGTTAAGTGCCATTGAGTCAGTTCTGACCCATAGTGACCCTGTATAGGGTTTCTGAGGAGTAGCTGGTGACCTTGTGGTTTAAACTAACTTTGCAGTCCAGCGCATTAACCCACAGCATCACATTTAGGGATGTCATGATATTACTCACAAAATTAAACGTGATTCAGATGAGTGTTAAATTTGCCTCTCTTTTTGAAGATGTTTTTACTCCTTGTTGATAGTGAATGAGTGAGCTGCTCGGGGTCACAATGCCACAGAGGGTCCATGCAGTTCTGAGGAGGCTCAGGTACAGAGATTCTGCTTCTCTGACAGGAAATGATGAAGAGACTAAGATGCTCATATAAAAATTAGTTACATTTCTCCCTATTTCTGGTCTTTCCTCATGTCCATGACCCTGCACACATGTGTCTCAAGAACCTAGTTTGGCCTGTGTAACTAGGGAAAAAGAGGAATGAGCTGAAAGTAATTGCTATTCAAGATTATGAAGAGGTAAAGGTAAAGAGTCATAGAGTTTTTTAATTAGACCACGGGGGTAATCTGTTTTTTGGGGCCACCTACTAGGAAGTATCAGCGTCCAGAGCAGAACATAGATGTTGTACTTGAGCTCATTCAGCCTGCTACCTCTGCCCATAAACACTGCCTAGTTTGTGTTTCATGAAGGTTATCAGCTGAGCAACCAATTGCTGTCAATTTGATCTCGACTCCTGGAAACCCCGTGTGTGTCAGAGTAGAATTGTACTCCACAGAAGTTACAAAGGCTGACTTTTCAGAAGTAGATCACCAGGCTTTACTTACTACCCAGACTCCTCTGGGTGGATTCACACCTTCATCCTTTTGGCTAGCAGGCAAACATGTTATCTGTTTGTACCACCCAGGGACTCCTCATGAAGCATAAAGGTGATTAAAGTAACGTGTACAAGTCCTTTAGCATTACATTGTTATGAAACATCAGGTCATTTTTTTCCCCCTTGGATCTTACCTGATTCTCCACACAAGACTAGCTCATTATATTTGTGGAATCTCATAGGGTAGCATGGTGAAGATTCAGATGGCCAGAAGAAAAACTCCTTCATGAGGCCCTGGTACTAAGATACTCTTTTCTAAGGCTGAGAGTCATAAGAGAACTTGGAACAATATCTGAGGCATCCAAGGGGCTATGATATGTGTATTTGAGATATTTTATACTTAGTAAATTATAGCAGGGGACCATTTTAATAGTATGTAAAACACATAGGCCTCAAATTCAGACACATTTTTTAATGTCTACATACAAGAAGCCCAGCATAGTAGTCAGCAGTTCAAATCCACCAGCCACTCTGCAGGAGAAAGATAACGCTTTCTGCTCCTGTAAAGATTTACAGCCTTGGAAACCCTATATAGGGGTGCTCTGAGTTAGAATCGACTCCATGGCACACCACCACCACCACCACTTACAAAGTTAGTCTCACTCAAGTGCCATCTTAAAGCTAGCATTGGAATCCTGGTGTGGACTGTAGGATCAGAACTGGACTACTAACCACAGGGTCAGTAGTTTCACTCCTTGGAAACTTTATCAGAGTCCCTGTGAACTGACTCGATGGCACTTAACAACAACAGTCTTTAATGTTGTGACATATATAATATTTGTGTTTCGTGTTCTCTTCGTACATGGCAAATTTCACTGATTGTGAATTTTTCTCTATTGCTTTCTCTATTGTTTACATTTCAGAAAGCTGTTGATATGCTTTTGGACAATGAAGATAAAATTTCAGTGAGTACTTTGTATTTTTATGGACGTTACCAAATGAGTGCCCAGGGGTACTGATCATGAAGAAGAAAGATGTTTATCAGATAAATGTGCAGCTCAGCGTGTATCCTCAGAACTCTACATCTGGAATGTTCTTTTCTTTTCTGTAGATTAAAAAGGTCGTGGAAGAACTAGAAGACAGACCAGAGTTGCAGCATGTGGTGAGCACTTCTTCTTGTGTCCTTTTGACTGACTATTCAGACCAGCAGCCTCCCAGTATTGCTGTGAGGAGGTTACAATGGCTTCCTCAAGGTTAATAATCATGGGAGATCTGCTCACAAACCATAATCTGCAATTATTAAAACAGGGTATGTGCCTGGGATGAAATACAGATCAGACACTTACATCTGAACTCATAATTTAATTGCAGCAACAACAACAAAAAAGTGATCCTATTCACTACTGTGGTGTCATACAGAGCCCAAGAGTGCACAACATTCTTCTGTAGATCTCAGTGCATTTGATCATGGTGTAAATCACAGCAGACCCACTGCCTCGATATGTGCACTGCAGATACCAAATTCTCACACCAAGGAAAAGCCACACAGCAGATCCATGCGTGGGGTCACAGAGTGATAAGAGCCTAGCCTTGTTTTTTTGTTACTCACCCTGGCACTAGCTCATCTCACTTCCCCCAGTGGTCTAGGTGCTTGTGCTCTTTGGGGCCCATCATTCTAGATTTCTGGGGGGTTAGGGGAACATTCCTTTGATTCTCTGCATTGATATCATCATGATAAGAAAGGAAGAATAAATGTTTTCCCTATCCTTTAATAGAACCACACAAGAAGACCTTGAGAGGAAGTAGTGAGTGTACCAATAGGGAGTCGGGGTGTCAAGCATCATGAATGCACCTTTCTTCACTCAGGAGGATGCTCAGGGGACCGAGGATTATTTTGAACGTCCGTTTTATACAGGAAGCTGTGGAGGACTCTGGGATAGGCTTGTGGACACTCTGTCTGCTCAGAGGTCATGCAGGTGCTGTAAGATCACCTGCTTACCCTAGCAAGGCACTGCTGTGCTGGCCTCTGTGGAATCTGTTTATAAAGCAGTGATTTCTCACCTGCATACACCATGGGATGGGACTGTCGACAGTGGGTGTCCGTGTGACAGTATCGGTGCCGTGGGACAGTGGTGACTGGGCCTGCGCCGACATGGCTCATCTCTCCCAGCAGACAATGTGATGTGTGTATAAAACTGACCTGACAGAGGTGACAGAGCCTCCTTACCCTGTTTGTGCCTCTGGGACACAGCAGCATGTATCAGAGCCCATGGTGGACCCCAGGGTGAAGGAATGGACAGGGAAGGGCCTTTCATCCGACCTGTGTGGCTGTGCATCAGCCTCAGTCCAAAGACAAGTTCACTCTGACCTCCTACTGCCTTAGAAAGATACGAACCTGAGGAGGGGGTCTCCCAATGTACACATGTCATGGTGAGACTGATTAGCAGATATATGGCAGCATATGTCAAAACCAGATAGCTCATTTATAAACACAGCTTCTGGAGCAGGGACTACGAAGCAGGGAACTTGGAAACAACCACTCAAGATATGATAAAACTCTTCTCGCCGCCATTGGCTTGTGGGGTTTTGTTCACACTTCACATTAACTAAACACTGAACATCCATTTCTAACTGCTGCATAGTATATTTCAAGTAGAAAGTGAATTACTCAACTTCCTTTGCGATCCATTAACATTTTCAGACAGCTGGGGTAAGGAATGAATTTTGAAAATTGGTTCAGAACATCTGTAGTCTAGTTGATTTATACTTATCTCTTACTTGTTGGTTGTTGTTTTCTCCACTTATCGTTGGGGTCCTAAGGCCTTTTTTAGTGTTCCTAGTATAGGAGTCCTGGTGTAGTTACGTCGGGTAAGCACTGTACTGCGAACCACAGGGTCAGCATTTCAAACCCACCAGCCAGTCCTTGAAAACCCTATTTAGGGTCTCTACGAGTCGGAACTGACTCACCGGAACTTAACAACAGCAGTATAGACACCACTTCATTGCAAGCACAGTAACCAACGACTTAACAAAGAGGAGATACAGAATGTGTGCAGATCATTGGAGCACTTGCTGCTTGAATTTTTAACAATATGTGCTTACCATATGGCTGTACCTCCTTTCATGTAAAAGAAGAGAATTCTTATGACCTAGGAAGACCCCTAACCAAGCATTTCTGTTCTTAGACGAAGCAGATAATGACAATAGTAATCACTCCTATCACTACTAATGTACCTGGAGTTCTTAGCGTGTGCCAGACAGAGTTCTGAGTGATTTACAAATGACAGCTCATGTGACCCTCCAGAGAGCAGGACTGCAGGTGGAGTCTTTGTAGAATAGAAGCAGAGTCACAGAGAGGTTAGAGACTTGCTCAAGGTCATGTGGTTGATGACAGGTGGTCGAGCCAGGTCTGCTGCTGCTGTTAATGCCGTTGCTAATGCCATTAATATCAGTTCCAACCCATAGCGACCCTGTGTAGGGTTTCTGAGGAGCAACTGGTGAGCTTGAACCACCGACTTTGCAGTCCTGCATATTCACCAGTGCCACATCTTCTTGCCCGCATTCTCTGTTGCAGCCTTCTTCCCTGTGATGGTTTTTGAGAACTGCTTCTCCCCTGACCACTCATGGAAGCTGTTGAGAGCTGAAAATAGCAGTGCTACCCTACCTTTCCTTTTCTTGCATCAGTCTTCACGGTGTGTTCTTTCTTTCTTTTAGTATTTGCATAAGCTTTTCAAGAGAGACCATCATAAAGGGCAACGTTACCACGAAAAGCAGATCAGCCTCTATGCAGAATATGATCGGCCAAACTTGCTTCCATTTCTCCGCGAGAGTACCCACTGCCCACTGGAAAAGGTAAGTCATGGACTCTGCCACCTAAAAACTAGATCAGAAAAGCTGTCATCATTGGGACCCTGTTGGTCACTGCAGTCCTCTTACTCTGTGCTCATCTATCTCTGGTCAAAGGGCAGAGTGTTGTTCTCAAGCAGTAGATTTTCCTGGGACACTTTGATGAGAAGTGGAGGTCTTGTTTGATTGGATTTGGTATTCAATCTTGTTTGATTCGATTTCTCTGACAGAATCTAGGACTCATAATCACCCCACAAGTCAGAGAATCCTCAGACGCCTGAGTCAGGCCTGAGCTAAGAGTTGGACCACAGAGGCAGGGCCTGTGTCCACAGTCAGAAGTACTTACATCAGTCAGGGAATCAGCTTTGTTCAGCCAAGTTCAATAACTTAGGTCCTGTACCCTGTCTGGTTAAATGCCCACCTGTGTGTTTCTCTGTATTCTCTATCCTACTATTTTTTACTATAATATTCTGTGTATCCGTGTCTCTTTCCCACTGTCCTGTAAGTTCTTCAAGAATAAGGATCTTGCTTTAATTGTTTGGTAAACCCAGAACATACTGAATATAAAATAAGGAACTTCAAAATTCGAATGCCTGACCTTCCAAAGAGATCTCTGCTTCAGAAGCTTTCGTCTATTATGGATGCTTAAGAGGATTTTGGTACCTGTTTTATTTTAGATGAGAACTGTTTCAGGTTTCAAAGTGAGCTGTCCTTTGCGTACTGACCCATGGTTACTGATAATTCAATTCTGACAGAATAAGAGCACAGTGCCTTCCTCGTGCCTGCCTTTCCTGGGATGGATTAACTGGTGAGAAGAGGGAGGACTCCAAACTGGCAACTTGCTGAAACCTCCAAAATCAATGATATCTAGCCAAAAACTTTGTAGACAGCCTGGCACCACTTTAAAAAGCCCTTTAGGGATCTCATTATCAGAACCCAGTGGTCAGGATTTAAAATCAGCACAACTCTGAAATTGGAAAATTCATCATAAACTTTTATGAAATGTCTGATTCTAAAGGAGACACAGAGTTTGCAGGAATTCATAACACCTATACAAGTGAGGAGTCCTGGTGTGGCCAAACCGGGTAATGCGCTGGGCCTCAAGGTCAGTTTGAACTGCAAGGTTGGCAGTTCAAACTCACCAGCCGCTCCGTGGAAACCCTACATAGGGTCACTGAGTCAAACACCTCCACAGCACTTAACAACAGCAACATAGGAGTCCTGGTGTGGCGCTGTATAGGATAAACGCTGGAGTGTTAGCAAAGGTTGGTGGTCCAAACCCACCAACTGCTCCTGGAAACCCTAGACAGGGTTGTTGTGAGTGGAAACAGACTCTACAGCACTTAACAACAGCATCATAGCATTTAAAGGACCCCCAGTGGCGCAGTGATTACGTGCTCAACTGTTAACTAAAAGGTCAGCAGTTTGAAACTACCAGCAGCTCACAGGAGAAAGATAACATGGTTTACTTCCATACAGATTTACAGCCTCAGAAAACAGATAGAGCACATCTACTTTGTTGTAGAGGGGTCACTATGAGTCAGAATTAATTTCATGGCAATGGGTTTGGTTTTGGATGTATAGCAATTAAAGAAAAAAAAATCCTTTATATTTCTGTGATACTTGAGAAAATGTGGTATGCTTTCAAGAACCTGGTTCGTTTACTCTCTACAAAAGTGCATTCAGTTGACCTAGCTTACATGTCTTGATGATCAGAACTTGACTGGTGGTGGTGGTTATATGCCATGGAGTCAGTTCTGACTCATAGCCACATTATACAGGGTTTCCAAGGCTGTAAATCTTTACGGAAGCAGAAAGCCTCATCTTTCTCCTGTGGAACAGCTGGTAGTTTTGAACTGTTGACCTTGAGGTTTGCAGCCTGATTCGTAACCACTACACTACCAGAGTTCCTTACTAGAGGATGATAAAGAATTCGATACAGGAAGCAAATGTAAATTGCTATCATTTGATTAATTTGACCTTGCTTATGGATGTTGTTGTTGTTTTTAGGTGCCATCGAGTCAGTACTGACCCACAGCGACCTTATTCACAGCAGAACGAAACACTGCTCGATCCTGGGCCAACCTCACTCTGTTGCCACGCTTGAGTCCGTTGATGCTGACACTTGGCCAGTCCATCTCATTGGGGGTCTTCCTCTTTTTCTCTTACTCTCCACCTTACCAAACATGATATCCTTCTCCAGTGACTGGTCCTTCCTCACAATATGTCCAAAGTATGAGAGACGAAGTTTGGCCATCTTGGCCTAAAAGGAGCACTCTGGCTGCACTTCTTCCAAAATGAATCTATTGGTTCTTTTGGCAGCCCATGGCACTTTCAATATTCTCCTCCAACACCATAACTCAAAAGCATCAATTCTTCTACAGTCTTCCTTATTCACTGTCCAGCTTTCACATACATATGAGGTTATTGAAAAAAAAAAAACACCATGGCTTGGGTCAGGCACACCTTAGTCCTCAAGCTGACATCTTTGCTCTTCAACACTTTAAAAAGGTCTTGTGCAGCAGATTTGCTTAATGCAATACGTCATTTGATTTCTTGACTGCTGCTTCCATGAGTGTTGATGGCTGATCCAAGAAGAACGAAGTCCTTGACAACTTCAGTCTTTTCTCCATTGATAAGAATGTTGTTTATTGGTCCAGTGGTGAGGATTTTTGTCTTCTTGACATTGAGATGTAATCCATTCTGAAGGCTGTGCTCTTTGATCTTCATCAGTAAATGTTTTAAGTCCTCTTCACTTTGAGCAAGCAAGGTTGTATCATCTGCATATCGCAGGTTGTTAATGAGTCTTCCTCCAATGCTGATGCCACGTTTTTCTTCATAGAACCCAGCTTCTCGGATTATTTGCTCAGCATACAGGTTGAATACGTATGGTGAAAGAATACAACCTTGTCACACACCTTTTTAATTTTTAAACCATTCAGTGTTCCCAAGTTCTGTTCGAACAACTGCTTCTTGGTCCAGGTACAGATTCCTCATGAGCACAATTAAGTGTTCCAGGATACTCATACTTCACAATATTGTCCATAGCTTGTCATGATCCACACAATTGAAAGCCTTTGCGCAGTCAATAAAGCATAGGTAAACATCTTTCTGATATTCTCTGCTTTCAGGCACGATCCATCAACATCGTCAATGATATCCCTCGTTCCACGGCCTCTTCTGAATCCGGCTTGAACCTCTGGAAGTTCTCTGTCAATGTATGATTATAGACGATTCTGTATTACCTTTAGCAAATCTTTACTCGCATGGGATATCAAAGAGATTGTCCAATGATTTCCACATTCCATTGGGTCACCTCTCTTTGAAATGGGCATGAATATGGATTTCTTCCAAATCAGTCGGCCAGATAGTGGTCTTCCAAATTTCTTGGCAGAGATGAGTGAGTGCCTCCTGTGCTGCCTCACTTTCTTTAAAGATTTCAATTTTTATTCCATCAATTTCTGGTGCCTTGTTCTTTGCCAATTCCTTCAATGCACCTTG